GGGTAGTGAGAGCGTCTCTCTCTTCTCTGCTGATATTAGAAGGTGGTGGTTTGGCGTTGCTGAGGCAGGCTGAAACATTATTGGTTTGAACATTATTTTCTGGGGCCTGTATGTTTTGGGACGTCGGGAGCTGTCCCTTAAGTGGGGTGGGGGGGTTCTCCACCAGGTCTTCCCTGTTTGTGCTCATTAGTCTCACCTTTATATTCTGTGTCTTGTCTTCACTTCCCTGTCGGGTCATTGTTTGGTAATGTTTGGTTGTGTTCAGTATTGTGCCTTGTCCTGTCTTGCCACGTCACTCAGAGGTTTTTGAGCTGCTCAGTCAGCACCTTTTGTTTAAATAAATTCTTTGTTGTTTTGGAGCTTTGCCACTGCCTGCATCGTGGGTTCATTCCTGACTGAGAATCGTAACAACTACACTGTGCAGTGTGGTAGGCCCACTACAACAAATCCTACTTCACACTTAACTGCCAACTTTTCATTGTTTATTTTTTATTTTATTTTTTATCCCCTGCCCTTTGGACGAACATTTGGACAAATAGACTTACCTGAAATTTTGAATATTTGACTTTACACATACACATTCATATAGAGGAAGCAATTTTGTGGTGGGGTGGGAGAAAACCTTCCAGAAGGATTTTGTTGTTAGTAATTTTTGATGAACATATTGTACATTTGAATCAATTGTGAGCAATTTGTGAATTTATGAGTCACTTTGGTTTGAATCCTTTTAGATTTTGGGTGCACCCAGTAAGTTAGAGATTTGATTTCGACAAAATGTGTATACCCTGCTGATTTTATGACCTTTGTTGGTGTAAGGGTTCAGTCTTACACTTCTTATAACAAAGTTATAAGAATAATTTAATTAGCAAGGGATCTCTTTTATTTTGGGTAAACATTCCTCTAGTGCAAAATGAATGACCCTCAGTCAGTGAATGTTGATTTGAACCATAAATATGCTATCATTTATTTTACAAATCAGACAGAATCACTAGAGTACACCTGATTGTGAACAATTAATTTCCTATAAAAGTTTTGGGACCAACAATAACAAGCTTTTAACTTCTTAATTGTTAACCACACTTTAATAGAAACACAAACGTCAGCTTAGATGTTAAATACCAGACATTTGAGGCTGTATCTTAGGGTTGGCAAGGAAGAGTTTAAGAAAAAAGGAGGAAGAAAGAAGTTAGCTTTCTTATACTTTAGCTTAAATAATGTGGGTTTTAACCAGAAGGGCGACGCGTTCTGTGCTCAGCTTCAGTCAGACCTCAACGTCACACACAGCCAGCTTTTACCTTGAGATGATGTGCTGTCACCTGCCAGGTAAATGGGGGCGCTGCTGGAGAATCTGTCTTCAAGATCATCAAACAGGGGACCCCAAGGCGTGTTTTTCAAACTCGTTTAGGGTCCACGACAGCCGTAGAAGAAGGCAAAGCCTCGACTGGAACCCAGGTTTCAGAATAAAACTTCCATCTGGAGAGTTTCTGAAGGTGGATAAACCAGGCGTGGTTTTCCACACTGAGAGGTTTCCCCGTTGGCGTGAAGGGGCCAAACCTGACACAGTTTTCAGCTTTTGAGTCCCTGGAGAGAATCTAGCTGTCAAAAAGTGACTGACGGCGGTCCGGCACCTTACTGCGGTCCGGGCAGAAACTGTTAGTTACTAAAGGCTTAGAGAATCTAAGTTCCGCCCTCCGGAAGGTTAGATTAGAAAGTTATTTCAAGGAAAGTGTTAGTTTCAGAGCTCGCTGTGCCTCCTGAAACTAAAACAAAGATTATTGCTGCTGCTGTGTGGTTCAGAACAAAACATTTTATGACGTATATTAATTATCTAATGAGCACTTATTTAAAAACATAACTGAAAGAAAAATGAATTGCTTCAAGTTCAACATTTGCAAATATGATTCAGACAAGTAAAACATTGATATTTCATCAACTTAAACCATAAAGATTATTTTAGTTAAATAAGATTTTTTCCCACATAAAAACCATACATGGCTGAAATCATACTGAGGGAGAAAAGAGATCTGTCCTCTCTTCTCCTGTAACTTTGATAAACATTCTCTGATTATCAAAATGTGTAATACTTTCAGTTAAGAGAACAATAAATCAAATAAGAAAAGATTCTTCTGTTTATTATCTGATTTTGGAGGAAGAGAATGACCCCTATATGTCCCTACATGTGGGGACAAATAGGGGTCACCTCGAGTTAAATTATCAAGGAAACTGTCTTGGACTCTCAGTCCTCTGATGGGCCTTCGAAGGGACAAAAACTTTGTTCCACTTAGAGCTGAATCTAGGCCACCCCAGGTCACCTTAACCATTCAATGAGACATTCTCTTCATCCTAAATCAGATAATAAACAGAAGAATCTTCTCATAATTGATTTATTATTTTCTTAACTGAACGTATTACGCATTTTGATAATCAATTGTGAACAATTTGTGAATCAATTGTGAACAATTTGTGAATTTATGAGTCACTTTGGTTTGAATCGTTTTAGATTTTGGTGCACCCAGTAGGTTTATAAAATGTGTATACACTGCTGATTTTATGACCTTTGTTGGTACCAATCTGCATTTATTGTAGAACTTTTGTTTATTCTTTTAAATTTTGTTATACTAATTTATTGTTAATACAAGCTGTAGGGGTTTTGGGTATATTCTAAAATAGATAATTTGTGAACTCACAAATTAAATTACCTCGAGGCACCACGCTCTTAATTCAATCCAGGATTGACCCAGGAAAGAGACGAAAAACTGTAACTTTATTGTAATCCGTCTCACAATAAATGTACCCAAAATGATTTGATGAGTTCTTGTCTTATCATAACCGATAATACATTCATCAAGACACAAAAATGAGATTAGCTTATGTTGGCACTTTCTCCATGGGCCATTTATTTACAGATTAAATGTATTTACAACTATGGCATGTAATGAAGTGATGACATAACTGAACCAGGTAAAAACTGAAAGAGTTTGCAATCACAAGTGAATAAACAGACAAACAAATAAACAAACAACAAAGAAACAAACTAAACACTGAGAGGTGACTTTTGCTTTTATCTGAGGATTGAACTAAGGGGGTCCTAGTTAAATTAGGAAGAAAAATCTTTTAGTTTACCAAATCTCATATAAAGATAAAAATCAAATTAGTCTGAGCACCTGAGTGTCACCAGGACAAATGTTCACCTTTACCCTTTTGTTCTGCTGATGGCGGTACCAGGAGTAGTCGTCAGCTGACTGAAGGATCTCAGGTGATGTTCCCCAAAGAACTGCTTCAGTGTGGTGGCCGGTCGGACACTCAGGGTGTCTGTTCAGCTGCTGGTCCTTCAGTCAGAAAGGAGGGTAATGAGCTGATGACAGCGGGGTCCGGTCCTTTCAGGTGGCTGCAAGACTTCTTAATTTGATTTCAACTTTGTAGAGAAAAACGAACTACAGTAAAACGACGCATGAATTGCCATTAGCTTATTTAACTTCTATAAAATCAAACTCAGATATTGAGTCGATATGAACGGTAACTGTTCGATCAAATAGCAAGAGATACAGAGTGACCTCATCCCACCAGCCCACGGGGAGGGGCTGGCAGGAAGGGCCTCTGCTCAGCTTCTGAAAGCTGTTTCTGGCTTCTGATGTTGCAAAGATCTCTTTCTCTCATTCATTCATTCACTCACTGTCGATCTCGGGAGCTGCACTAACTTTTAAAACCTCTGTTATGGGCGGAGTCAAGGTTTTAAGTTGGCCAATGAAAATATCACACCTTATACAGGAAAAGTTTTTAACAAATAAAATCTGTTTTGGAGGGGAAACTTTACTTCAGGACAAAGAAAAAGGGAGTGTTTTAGTTTAATTATCTTGCATCTAATTAAAGGGAGAGACATCTGCTTACCTCAGAAAAATAAGAATGTCACATTTAATTAAAATTTCAAATCCTAAGGTTTCTAAGGATTAAATCACGGAATAAAACACACACTGTTTAAAATCATGAAATAAAAGAAACATCTTCTTCTTTAGGAAAACATTTCATCAAAAAAAAAAAACACAGCTTCAATGGGTTTTGTACTTTCTGTAAAAGAAACAGGTAAATCACATTTCTTTGATTAAGATATATAAAAACAGACAGTTGTATAAAAACATTCAATCTTGTTCTCTTTCTTTCACATTTAATGAAGAATGTAGGTCCTTTGTCTCAGTCACTGAAGAGTCTGGTTAAAGGTGTTTATGATCCCCCCCCTTTGAAAAGGAACCAACAGTCTTGTGCTTATGGGGTTGGAAGCACAGAACTTGTGGGGGTTTTAGGACTGTGGAAATCCTTATCTATTAACATTAAGGCGTCAGGAAGTCTGGTGGGGGTTTTGTGTAAGAGATGCTAATTAGGGCCACAAAGGAAAGTTCCATGCAAAATCCTTAGAATAGTCTGAAGTTAAATTGTATTTTGTTCCTTTCTTTGAGAAGTCATAGGAACAAGTTAAATCTAATCAGAAATGATTAATTTGATGCAGGAAATGCTACAAAGCCATTTTTAAAATAAAATTTCCATTTGTCTGTGTCTCATTCACTCCTTAACTCCTCCAGTAGTGAACCTATTGGCCCAACACCTTCCTCATTACATCTTATGCTTTCTGGCTCATGCCATAAGGTTATAAGTGTTTCATACTACATTATGTTGACATTATTAAAGACAAATATTTCTACTCTGCTTTATTTATTAGATAATTTTGGTAAATGTAGAGACATGTAAGATCATATTTGATGTATAGTTTTTTAACAATTACACACATTTTCGTTTTTTAAAAATAAAACATTTTAAAATGTGTTACAGCAGTTTATCTAAAAGCAACAATTACACATAATAAAGCTCTGAATACAAGACATTTTGTTACTCATGCTGTTTTATTTAGATCAGGACAATATGTATGTAACTTCAATTTAAATCAAATTTACAAATTATTTTTCAGATATTAAAATCTTTCCCAGTTTAACCCACATGGAAGTGGTTCCCATGTCTATGACCAGATGACATTTTAACAATCAAACAGACTAGCTCCAGCTGCAGCTGCTGACAGTAAAAATAACATTTTACAATCTTTAACTCCAATCTCAGATATATCACAGTGGTTCATTTTCTAACCTTAATTCCACCATTAGTTTCACTTTTCATTGAATTTAGTGATGAGTCATTTCCAGATGTTTCTGTGAACATTTGACTGAATCAAACAGCTTTTCTGGCTCAAACAACTTGTTATAAAGTCCTGATGCATCTCAGTAATCCAGGTAAAAATCAAAAAGAAAAAAATTGTATAGGTCTTCTGGACGGGTTCTTCTTTAATGAAACGTTTCGTCTCTCTTCCAAGAGACTTCTTCAGTCTGAGAGTTTCAGGCTAAATTTTGCCTGAAACTCTCAACTTGTTATAAAGTTTTACTGATTAAGAGAGATGTCTCCTCTGAAGAGATTCCAACGATCTGCCTGTTGTTTGATCTGGTTCTTTTTTTATTGATTGAGACTTCATTTCATTTAAAAACAAAACTAATTTCACACAACAGTAAAACAAATCAGAAAGAAGAAAAATCTTATAATATACACCCCTTTTAAAAACAATAATTTCAAACAATAATTGTCTTAAAGTAATGAAAATAAAACATCAAATCCTCCTCGAACAACAGACTGTATGGATACACATTATACTAACTTCCTAACTGGTTCAAGTAAAAAAAAACAGTTACATCTTTATTTCTCATTAAACATCTTTTCCAGTAAATGATTGATCCTCTTTCTGTTTAATTCTGAGTTTTTACCAAAGTGCAGTGAGATACATTATCTACAGATTACAGGTTTGTGATATTATTCCTGCCAACACGTGACTTATCACTGCTTTGTGCCTAAAAGGAACTTTATATGCTGTTTATGAATTCAATTAAAGGAAGCAAATGTCAAAATTCAAATAATTTTTGTAATATGGTGATTCAGGTGAGGCTGATATGCCAAATTGGTGTTTATAAAATGCAACAAGAAGATTTTGTCTCAGCTTCTTTGGAAAGTTCCTCTAACAAACTGCTCATTTCAGTTTCATGTTTTTTCTGCAGGTTTTCTTTTTCTGCTTCATTTGTCATTTGTTTCATTTCTTGCTCATGTTTTGTCAGTAAATTTTTGATTTTTGTCAGGTTTTCGTTGTTCTTGGACACACACCTCACTAAGTTATTAATTTCTGCTCGATGTTCTTCCCTTTTTTGTTTTTCTTGTTGTGCTTTTAGAGCCTTTAACAGATCATATTGTTGCTCATGTGTTTTCTTCTGATCTTCAAACTCCTTTTTGTATTTTTCATGGAACTCATTTGATTTTACAGCCTGCTCTCTGGCTTTCTCTTCATATTCCTTTTGCAGATTCGTTAATTTGTCCTCTAATTCCTTTCTTTTCTGTTCATCCTGTTCTCTTCTGATCTGTTCCTCTTTCTTTCTTTTCTCTTCATATTTCTCTCGTTCTTTCCTGTACTGTTCCTCAAGTTCCTTCTCTCTTCTCTGCTCATCCTGTTGTCTCTTTTCCTCCTCTTCTTTTTGTTTCTCCCACCATTCTTTACGTTCGTTTTCCCAGGCCTCATATTTTCTCTTCTCCTCTTTCATCTCTTCCAGCTCTCTGTTGACATTTTTCTTTTCCTCCTGTTCTGACTGAATTAGTTTGTCTAATAATTCAAGTTGTCTTTTCATATTCTGTCGTTGATTTTCTTCTTCACTTTCCTTTAACTTGTTCTCCTTTTCTCTTTCTTCCTTCTCTCTTTTCCTCTGCGTGCGCTCTTCATCTATTTTTTTCTTCATCCCTTTTAGTTTTTTGTCAGCTTCCTGTTGGAGTTTTTTCTTTTCTTCTTCCATTTGTCTTTTCATTTCTTCCATTTCTTCATCATGCTTCCTTTGAAGCTCCTCTTTCTCTCTCTTCATCTCTTCTTCTTTCTCCTGAAGGATTCTCTTCACTTCTTTCTGTATTGCAGCTTCAGCTTCCTGCAGCATCTCGTTGGTGTAGCAGCTGCCTCCATTTTCCTTCACCATGATGTCAATCTTTTTTATCAGCTCTCTGACTTGTGTTTGATTCTTTCCATCATAATTATTAAACACATGATATCTGCCTCCACAGTCAGAGATCAGCTTCTTAAATGTACCCTGACTTTTTCCAATGTACTCTTCAATAGACTTCTTGTCATGCTCCAGTGTGTCTCCTTTTGTGAAAAGAATGATGGTGAATTTTTCTGAATTTTTCCCGAAGCCTTTCTTGATGAGTTTTAGAGTATCCTCCTCTTCATGAGTGAATCTACCAATCGACAACACCAGCAGGAAGACATGTGGTCCTGGAGCCAGCAGACTGATACATTTCACTGTCTCTTCATTAACTTCTTCATTAGACAAATTGTTGTCAAACAGACCAGGAGTGTCAACAACAACAACACAACGACCGTCAACCTCACATTGTTCTTTCTGACAAAGTTTGGTAACAGAATTTGTACTTGTTTCGGCTGTAAAAACTTTTTTTCCCAGAATAGTGTTTCCTGAAGAGCTCTTTCCACAGCCAGTCTTTCCAAGCATCACAATCCTCAAACAGTCTGTTTGCTGCTTCGCTTCATCATCTGGAACATGAACAAGAGACTGGCATTAGACAAAATGTTTCCCTTCACAGTGTCAGAAATTAAACTTGATCTTTTCCAACAAGTACTTACATTTCTCCAACTGTGTCTTTTTTAGGTTCATCAGTTCAGCCTGTAGTTTGGTGTTCTTTTCTATTTGGGCCTGTACAAAGTTTTCTGCTGAGAAGGATTGTTTCTTCTTGTAAAGGTTCATTTTTTCTACCTCATCCAGCAGTTGTGGGATCTGCTTCTTGTCCTTGACATTAAGAACAAAATATCTTCCTCCACAGCTCTGACAGAGCTCCTGGATCTCCTTGGTCTCCTTTATAAAGTTAAGAACAGCTGGATCTGCAGGATCTGAGTCCACAGTGAACAGAATCATGATGAAGTCTTTGACTCGAGGGCTGAATGTGTCCTGGATGATCTGTAACTCTCCCTTGTCTTCATCAGTGAGGGGAGCCACAGGTAGGACCAGGATGAAGGCATGGACCCCCTCAGGATCACAGAGGGAGACACACCTGAAGGATTCTTTGGCTGCTTCTTCAGGTTTCCCACACAAAGCAGGCAGCTCCAGCAGAGAAACCCACCGTCCCCCCACCTCTCCCTGGGTTTTAACACACTGTGATGGGTCGGGCTGAGGACCAAACCTGCTGCTTCTTAGGATGGCATCAACAACTGAAGTCTTCCCAGCTCCTCTTCTACCAAACAGAATCAGGTTCAGAACTGGTTTGGACTCATTGAACACCATCACAGAATCATCTCCTTCTTTTAATTTAAGATATTCTCCCTTGTTTTCACAAACAATTGTTTCTATTTTTTGCATTAATTCCTGTCGTTCATAGACTTGATTTTCTTTACTGTCCAGAAAGTGACTCTGTCTGCAGTGTTTTATGAGTTGTTCTACAGAGAGATTCTGTCCCCTCTCATCATGTGTAATGAGAATCATCGAATGTTTGAAGGCATCTTGATCAAACAAACTGAGGAGGAACTTCAGGGTTTTTCTGTCATCTTCAGTGAATTCTGTAGGTTTTACTAACAGCAGCAGAACATTTGGTCCAGGATGACAGAGACTCACACAGTTCTTCATCTCTTGTCTCACTTTTTCAAAAGACAGACTGGAGAAGTCTGGAGTTTTTATCACTGTGACTGGTTTCCTGTTCCACGTTCCACTGGCAGAGACACACTGTTTGTATGAAAATAATTTTGGAGGATGGAATTCTGTTTTCTGAATGATGATGTTTCCCAGGGTTGACTTCTTGTCGTTACTTTTTCCAAACAAAACAATTCTGAGTGGGTGTGCTGTAATGAATAAATGAATATAAGGGAAATTGTTTTTAAAGATTTATTTTAGTATTGTTATATAACTTTGTTTACTTGTGATATTACAGTTCCAACATGATGAAGTTAATTCTCATTACAGTTTTGAAAGTGTTTATGCACTCACCAGGTTCTGAGTTCTCATGAAGTTTGGATTCTTGTTGCACTTTTGTTTGAAGAGCAGCAGGTAACCTTTGGAAAGCCTCTTCATAAACATCACCGGTCACATGTTCTCCTTTCAGCTCCTCCAGCATTTCTCCCATGACTGTTAACAGCTCCTGTCGCTCAAAACTCTTTTTCAGCAACATTTTCACTTTACATTTCTGAATAATATCCTTCAAAACTGGATGTTGGACAAACTGTTCAACAGAACCAGAACTTTCCTCTCTGGGTTCTGAGATCAGAACTATTGAATGATCAAATGATTGATCACTGAAGGATTCAAGAATTGATTCAAGCCTCTGTTTGTGTTCCTCAGTGAAGTATTCAGGCTGCAGAACCAACAGGAACATATGAGGTCCAGGATCAGTGAGTGTCTTACAGGTTTCCACATGTTTAGTCAGGTCTGGAAGAGAAATGGTACGATGGAACAGGTTTGGTGTGTTGATGAGAATTATTCTTTTGTCTTTGATCAGTTTTGTGAATTGCATGCAGAGTTCTGGTTCAGTGTGGAATTTGTTCTCTCCCAGTAGAAGGTTCCCCACAGAACATCTGTCAGACCAGCTGTTTCCCAGAAGAACAACCCTCAGCTCTGACACTGGAAAAAAGAAACTCATTTGTTTGTTTGTTTGTTGTTACACTTTAATACTTTGAACCATAAAGTTAAGGGGTCAATCAAACAATAACTAACTCAAAGCAGCTCTGTATGGCATATCTGATATGACAAAATATGAACAAGCTGGGCTCAGACTGATGGACTCCAGGCCACGCTGCAGTGCTGCAGGAATCCTGGCAAAAGGATCCCAACTCCACATTTTGTGCTGTACGTGTTTCTTTATATGTTCAGACTTTTCAGTGGGCCAACATTTCAAAGTCTTTTTCTTTTATTGGTCTGAAGTAATATTCAAATTTTATGACCAACGTGTGTGTGTGTGTGTGTGTGTGTGTGTGTGTGTGTGTGTGTGTGTGTGTGTGTGTGTGTGTGTGTGTGTGT